ATTACGAAAGATATTCAAATGGACTGTATGGACTACGGAGCAATAATTTTCCTGGGCTTCTAATCCCACAGGCAGTTATACTTCGTTTAGTTTCTGTAGCGATGTGACCTTCAGTTTGACCGGCGCAAAGTAGAAAAGGACAGCACTAGGCCAGAAAAGGAAGGAGACAACTCTCGGCCAAANTTGAAGAAGTTTCACTTCAGCAGCGTGTTGTATAATTACACGTTGTAATTTTTTGTTGTAAGACGGTATGTAAAAATGATAAGATAATGTTAAGTAAACAAATGGTTTTTTAATAAATAAAAAAATATATTAAATAGGAGAACTCGCCAAGGTGACCATCACGACTCGTAATTCACCAATCAACTGAATAAAAACCATTTCGAGCGTGTTCCACTTCAACCCTTAACACAGTTGCCGTGGAAAGCGTATTTTCAGCGACGACTCGTAGCGAATTCAAAAACTTAAATTTCTTTACAGTTCGGCCGTCTTATTATTCGACCGACTTCAGGCGACTCAACAGCAATACACAAACTTTATCAAATCCATGTAAAACATATTAACCCGTATTTAAACAGTACTTTTATTTAACTATATTCTTGTCTAATTAACACTTCTTATAATTAGTAGTTATAAATTCACCACTATATAATCACTTTGTCATTTTTTCGCTCTTTCCTTTTTGCTTTGGAATACCACGTAACTCGAACTCGTGCTAACTCACTCGATCCCGTGGCAACTATCTATAGAGACTGGTCGTTTTCTAGAATGGAACTTCCAGAAAATGACCGATGAACGTTCTGGTATATTCAATGAAATTTTGAAAATTATCCTACAACCCTCTTTAGACATTTCCTACCCTGCACTTGCGACCAAATGGCACGTATTTAAACACCTTTTCCCACTGTTACTACTTTTATGTAATTATTTGCTGTCTGATTAATACTCCTGTTACTAATTAGTTATCTAGAAGCATGGCTTTTTCTGTCATCATGTATACACAATAATTTTAATATAAACATTAATAAATGCAAATTCGGAAAATTAAAAAATATAAAAGCATACGAATAAGGTATAAAGTGAAGGAGCTAGGTTAGCTCAAAGCATCATTGGTACGCATCATAGGTTTTTTCTATTATAATGATATCGTCTAGGTAAACCAAACAGATTTTCTGGTTTAATCCATGTAATACAGTGTCCATGAATCGTTCGAATGTAGCCAGTGCATTACAAACTCCAAAAGGCACCACATTGACCAGTTCCAGTTGTAAAGGCAGTCTTCTGCTTATCCTGCTGATGCATATCCACTTTGCAGTATCCACTTTTCAAATCCAGAGTTCAGAACCATTTAGCTCCAGCTAGACTATCTAGTGTGTCATCGTTGTTTGATGGGTCTTACTGTTCCAGTGTTGATGTGGTCATATGGTTGGTCCTACCAAAGTCTTGATCTGACAGGGCGAAGACGTGTTGAAGACAACCAAAAAGTTCTCCTAATTGTTTCACTTCGTGCTTATTGACCCTTTCACCAGTTCTGATAAAGTTACAGGAAGTGATGTCGGTTTCGTCTCGGGTTGTTCTTCCCAGTAGTAGAGGTGGATTTCAGTTACCAGTTCAAACATACCCAGTTCTATGTAGATCTTTTGCTCGAAGTTTTCAAATTGCCTATTCGATGGTACCGATAGTGTTCCACACCTTACGAGCGTACACCCTACCAATAATTCTTTCTGTGTCAATTCTTGATTGTTTGGTTCGATTACACCCACCAGTTCTAATTTTTACAATGTTCTCGGAGTGACTCGGTAGTACTCGATCTTCCTTTATTACCACCTTGTAGGCAACAGGTTTCTTCTTAGCATTTGACATTACCATCTCCTATTCATCTTTGCGCATTGTAGAACAGCTCAGTCAATTTCATGTTCCTGAAGAGGGTCCAATCCAATGATAACATCATCCGCTATGTCGGCCACCAATATCCAAGTATGTAAAATCGCATTTCGAATTGTATTTTCGACGTTGCATTATCAATGGGTTGTTGAAGCTGCAGTTAAAACCAGTCTGCTGGCCAAAGATCGAATTCGCCATTCTGTGATCATATCAAGGCGAACGATGATGTTGGATGCCCCTCTATCGATAACCATTCGAACAATGTGCTGATTTATAGAGCCTTCTATAAATGATAATAGCGCCGTCCAATCTTGAAATGATGACTTCTTCAGGGTCTTGGTGAGGGTTTGGTTGATCATAGTTTTCCGACTGCCGTGTCTTGTTTGAGTGGGCACTCGATTTATGTGCCACATTTTCTCGCAATTCCAGCACTTCGGACGACCACTGTAGTTGTTGCAACCCGGAGACCCGTATGTTCCGTTTCTGACTCTATCGATAAGTGTTTGTACCGACAGTTGGTCCATGAATTTTTGAGGAGCAGGGGGTAGGCTAATCATACGAGGCTCGTCACATCAGAGTCAAATTGCTTCGTTGGTTACGGCTTTTCAGTTCCGTCTGATAAGATGGTGGATATCATATTGTAGTGACTGGGACACTCTTTGGAGTATATCCTACGCCTCTCCTCGTAAAGAAAAGTGCTATTGTTTTCTCTGAATCGGCCTAGGAATTTGCTTCTGCCGCTGCTGTAAACAGCTTTAGGTAAACAGACCACGAGATCCTTTCATGAAAAGTTGGAGGTGTAATTTTTAATGATCATGCCCTGGGATACTAGACTCTTGCATTAGGGAGTGGTTTTACCCTTTTAATTTCTTCTTTCATTTCATCAATCTTCTTTTTCATTATGATTTCCCTTTCTTCTATCTTCTTTTCCATTTTGTGTCTAATATTTATATTGTCTTCCATTTTCGTGTTTTTCATCTCAACGTCTGATCGTGAGGATCATATATCGAAAGAATCGGTGATTCAATTGATTTTGATTTCAGAGTCTCAAAAGCGTGAAGTTGATCCGCCTCAAGTTTAAATGTTGCACTCTTTCGGAACAAATCATATAAAGGTTTCGTAAGGATAGAAAACCCTTAAATTTTCGCAAATATAAACATAAAAACATCTGAACAATATGAACATTTTGAGGGACTGGGAAATGGTTATAGCATCTGACCTGTGTTGAGTTGGTTTTACTCCATATTTAGATAGCATGTAGCCCAAAAAACTCTACTTCAGCATACAGGAATTTACTTTTATGGATTTTTAACTGCATTTTATTTCATACCAGCAATTTAAATACCCTTTTTAAAATCATCAAATGGCTTCTTGTCGCGATCAAAAAATCATCTAAATAAGCAACTATATCTCCTGAAGCAATTAATCCTTTTAAAACTTCATTTACAAATTTTTCAAATTTTAACGGAGCTGTTTAAGCGCGAACGCATCTTAATAAACTGGAATTGGTCAGAAGGTGTTATAAATGAAGTATATTTTATCGACTCTTCGGCCATGCGTATGTGGTGAAAGCCGTCTCTCAAATCCAATAACGTAAAAAATTTTTTATTATTCAAAATATTTAATTGATCAATCGATCAATAGTAGAAGGTAGTTGTCGCGAACAGTAACTTTATTAAGGTTCCTATAATCTACACACATTATCAACTGTCCATTGTTTTTCTTAACAAGAACAATGGGTGACGTTCATGCGGATGCACATGTACAATTCCTTTTTCTAATAATCCATTCAAAATTTCCCGTAACCCTTTCTTTTCTATAATAGGTAATCTACGTGAAGTACAATAAAGCGGTTCTGATCACGTAATGTAAATTTTAATTCTATTTTAACATCTGGTTTGGACGGTAGTTCTGAATTTACATAATCATCTATAAAACATTTGAGTTTAGTTTGCATTTCGATTAGAATAGACTGATTGATATTTAATTCTAAATTATCAGTTTGATCTTTTCTTGGCAATATAAATTTGAATTTTTTAAAGGCATCCCTATCCAAAACCGCAGGGCTCGACATAGTACCGTTCGGTACAACATACATGATCAAGTTGATTTTTATATTATCTAAAGTAAATTGCATTTGCCTAGTTCCTAATATATTAAATTTTGTTTTATTAATACCATAAAATAGACGCGCTCGGACTCGATTGGTATTTTTACGGTTTTATTAGCCACCTAAAAAAGTGTTCGACCGCTTGAGGTCAAGGGCCGCATTTAGTATTATTTTGTTGCGAATTTCTACGAATTTGCCCTATAGTAAACAGAGAACTAGTAAATGGGTCAAAGGTTTACTAAAACGTAATTAAAAAGCCGAGAATTCCAGAAACGATCGTGTCTTTCAGCAAACGACTTTCAGCGTTAACATTAAAATCAAAAACATGATTTAGCTCAATAATAGAATAGGGTAATTTCTTGTGATATTATCGAAAGTTGTTACATATCTCTTTTTAAACGTTATTAGTAGGTATAGATTTAACTAAACCGTTCAACTGGGTAACTATGTATACAGTTTTACTTATATTTATATTTATTCATCATACAAAATACTAGTAATAGTATGTATTTCGTGATTACTAAGTAACAAACACAAAGTTATAAAGAAATACAGTACCTAAAATGGTAATTGTTCTATGTTACTACTTGGTAGACATGTAACCAAACAGACATAAAAATTTTTGGTGAACAGTATCCTGTCTAAGTCGGAATCGCCATTCAGATCTCATTGGATCTAGTCAGTACGACGTAAACGGTTTCGACAGAATACAAACCACTTCGTGCGATTTACTATGGCGTCGGAAATGCCTTTGTCGTGTTGACAAAGTCCAATGAGGTCGGAATCGCGATCTACGTCTGATAATTTACAGAGAATGAAATGATCACAGATAGTAATCTAAATACATCTTTATTTACAAAATTTACTCTTTTTTACAATCACATATGTGTCTACTTATTCAAGTAGAATACCTAATTATTAAAGAAGCGGTTTTACGGAAATTTATAAACAACTAAATAATTTAAATCTATGGTAATTTATATCTACTATAATGATACACAGAACATACGTAAACGTAAAGAAGAGGAACGTATACAAAGAATAGAACAATCTAAGGAAGACAAGATGCAGAGATTTCTTATGCTGAGGAAAGAACAAGAGGAAATACGACAGCAGTATATAAAAGACAAAAGAAAAGAGTTGTATGTTATGCACGGTCCGCCAAAAGAACTAAACAGTGCTTTAATTCTTTCTGAAGTAATTTATGAAAGAGAAAAGCAAAAGGAAATGAAAGATTTTCTTGAACAGCATAGGATTGAAGAAGAAGCCAAATATGCGGCAAAAGTAAAACAAGGTGCAATTGATGAAGCGAGGGAGAAGCAAGAAGAAAAGGAAAAGGAAAAATTGAAAAAATTGGAAACGAGGAGGATTTATTTAAAACAGTAACTGCAAGAATAAATATTTATTCCGATTTTCATATTGTAAGTTTTACGACTGATAAGTATACTTATATTTTAGAATAGAAGAAAATAAAAAGGCTGCCGAATCAGAAAAACAGGAACGAATCAAACAAGAACTTAACGACATTCTAGCTGCTGGAAGAGAAGCTGTACAAATGAAAAAGAATGAGATTGAAGAGGCAAGTTTTAATTGCTGTTATAATCATAAGTATTAATTTCAAATTTTTTACTTCATCTGGTAGTTTCGCAAGTAGAATTGTTTTTCAATAGCATGACCCTTCATAGTTTTCTCAAGTACGTTATAGAGTACTCTTATATTATTGTCTAGAATTAGTTCGCATATGGTGGTTTTTAAGAATATTTTGCAGTAATTGAACCATATAGGGTACTGATCAGGCAGCCTGCTGACAGCAAAATCATGAATGCAACGTCTTAATACATTAAAATTTTCAGTAGTGTACAACCACAAACCTCATCAGGTAAAACGTATGCGACCTCGATCGTACTGTTTCTACATGTAGCCATAACTTATAAGCAATAAAAATAAATTCTGGTGAATCAATCCATTAAACTAGAAAAAAAAAATTTAATATAGCATATAAATAAGTGCGGAGCTTGCGGAAGGTGAGGGGACCATGAAACAAAAAAAAAAACAAGAAATTATTTATACTTGCAAGAGTTAACGGTTTTCAAGAATGACGTAGTTGAATGCACAGGTAGATGTAATTCCGGCCCTGGAAAGAAATGCCTCATTGCACGCTGTTTCCAATCAGCTGGTAATTAGCAGTATCAGTGTTGTAATTCTCTTTTTGCTGACGTATTGTTTATTTGTTAGTAAAATAACCAAATGACTTATCCCAACAACCACACTATTTAAAAAACTGCAGACATATGTTTCTCTCATGTAAGTTATCAGTATCTTCAGCACAAGACTGGTGCTAGATAGCTTTTTTTTATGTTTTTCGTGGAAGAGGGGAAATCCTGTATATAAAAATGATTAAACTGTGTTTCCTGGTTTATTAGTTTATTCAATAAAATTTATATTTACAAAAAAAATTTCAAATATTTTAAATTTTCGATAATGTACCTAAATTAGCTGTAACTTGCCCGGCTTTCTGAGCATAATCCTTTCTACCCCTTTCAGAGGTTGAATTTTTTTAGATGCCGAAATAGGTATTTAATTAATGATATCAAAGAGCATTAAGCCCAAATTTTAACTAAATGTGACGGCTGATTTTCAAAAATAGTTAATTTATGTTAGTTTCATTGTATTAATGAGCATTAAGACCATGTTTGAAGTAAATCTTTTCACAAATATTCCACACAAACGTTAGAAGCCTTTTCCACCCCTTTAGAGGTTGAATTTAGGTGTTTGATCAAAGAGCATTAATAATTTTAACGAATTAAGTTTCAAGTAAATCTGACCAGAAACCAAAAAGGATCCATACAAACTTTGTCACTCTTTTTCACCCTCTTACGGTTTGAATTTCGAAATATCCTCCTTAATCCTTGTATAGATCAGGAAAGAGACCTCTGTGCAATATTTCAGCTTTTCATGTGCATGAATTTGGGCTGGGCATTGATGAGTCAGTGAGTGAGTCAGGAATTTTCTTTGTATGCGTATAGATATGTTGTACTGCAATATTCACTGATTTGGAAAGAAACACACACAAAAATAGTAACAGCGATTATTGTATTTGTCAGTCGACTTCGACCTTTTCAAGGAGGAGTATAAAACACGTGATTGCAAGTACGGTCAAATAAAACGTAAACTATTTGGGAATGATCAGGTATATTACGTCAGAAGCAGTAGAGAATACCGTAACAGGACTTGAATTGGGCAATTCAGCTGTGGGTCTCATACATGATCAGGGCGACCGACCAGAATGCTCTTAGGGATTACTTGTACTTATTTTATACTTGTCTTTTATAAAACCAACTTTATTCAAACGAGATATTATTATTGAAAAGTAATGAATGTAGGTAGTATGTATATAGTCTTTTAGAGGAGGATTCATGATAAAATGGTTTTTATAATATGTATTATGATATTTATTTTCGTATTTTCTTCTTATGAAATTGATGTCCACTATCTTGTAAACGTTTAATTAGACCTTCCAAACGAGCTTTTGTAACAAAACACCAAGATTTTGCCCATTGAAGAAAAAAAAAATAAGCAAACAATACTTCTACCGAAAGTGGCGTAGGTTTACTCAAAAGGTACCATTGAGCGTTGGGATAATACGTCAGGTTATTAAAAGCTGTTCAATCAGTCACCCATATTAAGAGAAATTGTTAATGTACATGTCTTTAGGAGTTACCAAGGCTCCGTGGTAAAACAGAGGTAAGGACATATTTGCGATCTAACAAACATACTCCAAATTTTAGCATCTATTAATGATACGTTATGGCATTTTATAAAGAATAAGGCATGAAGAAGTTGTATTTGTGAATGAAAAAATTGTTTTTGTCATTTGTGTGCAAAAAAATGAAAAAGTTTGCCAGCCCTAAATATTAATTACTTTAAAGTTGTATTTCATTGAATCATTTGTTAGAATCGGGTCTACACAGTGTGTAACAGATATAAGTGCGGGGCTTACAGGAAGTGATAGAGCACTATAAAACAATACACTTAAGTAAATGTTTGTATTCCCGAAAGTTCATTGTTTTCGAGAAAAGCGCAGTGGAAGGTATCTGATAGGAAGTATTTCTATCAGCTGATAATTAGCAACATCAGTGTTGTATTCTATGTGTATATTTTGCTCATGTATTGTGTGTTATTTGTTAGATTATATTAAGTTCGATTCAAGGTGTAGTAGTGGTAAACTCTTTTAACGTTTTAATCTTGTATTTAGTCGCTTGATGTGCAGTTCAATGAACTTATTCAGCAATACAATATCAATCATTAGACTAGGTCAGTACGTCACTGTCGAACAGTTGTTATAATAGCGCGTATACTAAACCCTAGTGCTCAACTCTAATGACCTGTAGACTGCAGTTGATCGCTGCAAACGAAATACGCCATATATCAGGCGTTTTTGTACATGAGTTGTTTATTTCAGATGTTTGAAAATCTGTACTGCTTACGTTTAAAGTAGTTGCAATGTTCTTATTACGTGTTCACTTCAATATTTGGTACGTTAACAATTCACGTGCAGGGCCATCTTCAAATAATAAATTTTTGTGGTTTTCTTAAAAATTCTATTTACCCATAACCACGCTGTTAAAGTCAACATACGATTCCTTTTGCACCTTCCAAAGCTTCGCATTATTTCTGGTACACTTTATACATTAATAACATATTTTGTAGGCGTGAAGTGTTATTAATATAATACATATTAAATAAGTTTTTGTTGTGCTCCTAATTGATGCTGTTTAGTTTTTCTCGTGATAGACACTTACACTTATGTGTTAAGTTTGCGATATGCACTCGGCTCAAAACAGAGCATTAATGCTACAGCCTTAACAATTTCCTTAGTGGCAGGAACCAACATCGTAAAGTGTGACACTAAATTAGTATATGCGACTATTCCTGTGCTAGAGATAAGATTTTTTAATAAAAATTTGTTACGTAAAAGATGCTAAAAGTAAAGGTATTGCTATTGCCTGCATTGTATTATTGAAATACTAACATTTGTAAGTGTAAGTTCAATTATGATGTAAACAACAGTTTATTTTATAGTTAGTTATTGTGAATGTCGTTCATTATTGCGTTCTTTGTTGTGTGCATTAAATTATTCATTAAGCGGTTTTATATGTTCAATATAGGAGTTACAAAAGCGCAATGACATAAAAAAGGAGTTTGATGATTTTTACAAACGACAAAAACAATATAAAATACAAACGGAGAAAGAAGAAATTGAACAAACTCAAGTCATTGAATTATTTGCAAATGCTAAATGTAGAATCGAAGAAACCAGAAAAAGAACAGAACAAGAGGTACATCAAATATCCAAGACTTGATGCATATTCGTAAAAATACTGTAATTATTTCTAGCTTCTAGCAGAGAAAAGACGAAGAGCAGAAAAAATAGCTGAAAAAGTTGCAGCAGTAGCTGCAAGTAAACAAGAGGAGGAGGAAAGGATTTTAAGGGAAGCAAATGAAGAGAAAGAAAGACTGTAAGCTTTTTTACGTCATCTTTTTCTTAACTACTTAATTTTGTATATGCTTACATAAGCAGGCATATCCATGCGTAACAACACGAGGAAAATAAAACCAAAACAGAATTTGCCTGGGGTTCAGTATGTAGGACACGTCTACAAGGAGACCAAATAGGGAGATATAGATTTCCATTTCTTCCCCTTATTGGAATCAGAGCCAGAATAGAGTTATAAATATTTTATTGCTAGGAGGCTTTCTCATGGTAGATTTTTAAAACCTGAATGTCTCTTTGTTAATTATAAAGTCATGCAGTATGTGATATTAATACAGGATATTAAGAATTATTTACATTGAAAACAAAACACACTTGTAAAAGGAAAATTATAAATAATAGAAATGCATTAAAACTAATAAAAACTACTTGTTAACGTAAAATAATTAATACAAAATTAAAAATTAAAGACCAGAAGTAGTTTTAATTAACTATTTACATTATGTATTACCTTATTTTTACTCGTGTGTCTTTGTATTAATGGTGCAATCAATTTTTAATATCATGTGGCAAAGTTACACACCCTACAACGCAATTAAAACCTTAGGCGAAACGTTCATGTTAGTCGTTCGACAATAAATCATTTACAACCCCATTCTGACTTTACCTCCTTTAAAGAATGAGAGTTTTAATGTGCAAAAATCTCATTCTTAAAAATCTAAACTAACTTAGTCGGCTGCAAACAGAATACATGTAGTGTAGGACTGCTGAAACATTCTGATGTGCCCTCTAGAAACCTCCAATCTTGGTTGGGGTCATACACTTCTTCGTAGTGGGCAGCTTATTGGAAAAATTCCATAAGAAGGAGAACAATGGAATAAGTATGAACTTGGAGTTTAGGATTTTATTATTTTCAGAACATTATTAAAGAAAGAAAACAAAAAAGCAAATGACCATCCCTAGAATCCTTAGAACTTCACTAACCGAGGGTTGTGCTTTCATATTTCTTATTGCTATTACTTTAGATGCATTCTCTATCAATAGATTACTTAGTAGTAACATTTCTAGTTTGTTATTATGATCATTAATAGCTTCTCCCATATTTTCTCCCACTCCACAAATTAGGATAACATCTGCAATAGCTTCAACACCCGATCCAAAACCCTTCTTTCAGATCTACAGTCGAAAAAATTACCTTTGCTTTTCCTAGCTCAGGTACAATATTGCCTAAATTGATAATTAGGACGACATAGGTTAATCGAAGGGAATTGGCTAAAGATAAATCCTAGAATAAAAGCATGCGTTATGTAAGTAGTGATTCTGTTCAAATTTAGACATCGGTATATAATAACATAGGTAATTGACGTAATTGTTTTTAATATGCAGATTTCCGACAGATGAATATTTAAAGTCACTCGAAGGGAAAATTTTAATCCCACTAGGCATAGTGTCATTTCCGAAAACGTTTCAAAGCAATCGATTTTCTAAGAAAGATACCGAAAAATGTCCTACAAAGTGATATAATACCGAGCGTTTTCTATATTCCCGTTCACATAAAAGTTAAATCTGAAAAACAACGAACAATAATTATTCGTTAAGTAAGGTCAATATTTGCTTTTAAATACAACTATTATGTTTAACTGTAACATTTGGAAAATACGCCTCTTAGAAGTATACAATTTAATGAAAAAGACGCAATTGTCGATACGAAACAACCCTCTACCTCTGGTTCTTTATGCGCCAAAGCATACTATAACGTTCTTTTACCCCGCACTGAAGAGTTGGTTGCCTGGCCTATATTGATACCTAACCTACCTTATGAGCAGTCTAGTTATGGCAGGTCTGTGGTACCTTCCTTTTCTAGTTCAATTACTGGTGTAAATTTTGTCTTAAGGTGATGGATATTCTTCTGGCACGTTGAATGGATGGTATTATTGATTCGTCAACTGCTAGTATTGTCTTTTCTGCAAACTTGCCATAACCTTGAATGATATCTTTATATTCAATATTTTTTTTGCTTCTATCCTGTAGTTTTCTGTTATTTTAGAAGTACAATATTTTATGAAACCTAGAGTAAAAGATGCTTTTTTCTGAAAGTGACGTATAGTGATCAACGTCGACTATCTGGAATTTTATATTATATTTAATCTTTTTATGTATGACAGGTAAAATGATTTTTCGTAGCACTTCCACAGAATGACCTCCAAACACTGACAGTTTACAAAAACAAATGTTCCACTGCTACAATTCTTTTACATTTATATATTTCCATCAAATAAGCTTTGGCAGTAATATCTTAGCCAAATTAGTGTTTTGTATTGTCACATGTATGTAGGAAACCCAACATATATAGTGGCAAAGAAGACCAGTTTCTAGAAGTATCTATCAATCTTGACTTACTTTAACAAACTATGCATCGTTGGAAGGCGTTCGAAGAAAAAAGATTACATGCCTGTTACGACTAGAGCTTCCGAAGCAAAAATGGAGGAGCAAATAAATTCATTAATGGTAATGATGGCAGAAATGAAAGCAGTAATGTAGACTGGACAAAAAGAGATAAAAGCAGGAAAAGAAGAAATGTAACAGGAAATGGAAGCAGTACAAAATAACGACAAGCTGACACAAGAACAACTGAAAGCAGTTCAAGAAGAAATGAAATATGAACTGAAAGCAGCTCAAGAAGAAACGAAGCAGAAAAAGGAAGCCGTACAGGAAGTAATAAATATCGGAACTGAGGAAAAGATAAACAATATTACAGATGAGATCGGAAAGAAGATAGAAGAAAGGAGACAAGAAATAGAAGAATAAATGAGAGAAGAAATTGAAAGGCTAAGAATTCCCTCTACCGCAATACCTGAAGATTCCGGCGCAAGATCATCAAAAGTTGGAGGTGTAATTTTCGATCACCTCCAACTTTTGATGGAAAGATCTCGTGGTCTGTTTACCTGAAGCAGCTTGGAGCAGCGGCAGAGGCAAATTCTTGGACTGATTCATAGAAAATAATAGCACTAACAATTTCTTGACGAGGAGAGACGCTGGCTATACTCCAAGGATGCGTAAGTGGCAGCTGTATGACTTCCACATCTGTCAACAGCATAAAAATGAGTAATCTAACCACCGTTAAGCCTAAGGATTTTAGGCATTAATCGAAGACCACAGGAAGGACGAAGACATCGGCCCAATAATGAGATGATAAGAAGCCGGAACCTTATGACCATCGTGGCCAGATGTAAGCCACCTTAGTCAAACATCGAAAAGCTATTGGGCGCAATGGACGTCCCATAACTTGGAGCACGGCATTTTGAAGAGAATGTGAGAAAGTCCAGGTGGAACAAGAAACAAGCTCCATGGGAATGAAGTGGAATGAATTTCAGAAGTCTTAGAGGCAGTCCATGGCGAGGTATATACACCCTCACGTGGAAGGTACATTGCCGGTTTGTTTTAATCTCTGTACCTCATTTAAGACGATTTACAAAGGATGACGTTTTCGATGGGGATATGGATAATCGTACAATTTGATACTTGCATTGACATTGTGTTTACATTCGTCTTAAATTAGTATCATGCTACAGAGATCTGTCGTACTAAACGCCATTGTAACAATTACTGTTCTACAATAAATTACGACAGCGATAAACTGATGTACTGAAATAACTGACTGATTTATACAGCTAAAGCGTTAAAAGAACTAAGTACTGCCTGTAACATAAATATCGTCAATCACACTTAATCTAATCCAACAAATAAGAAACAATTCGTGAGTACAAAAATACAAAAGAAATACAACACTAATTTCTCTAATTACCAGCTGTTTGAATACGCCGTTGCATTGTCGTATTTCCTTGCGTGATGGGCTGGATTGACACTCTCCTGTACTTCTAAATACGTTTTTCTCGAAAAACATTCGGACTACCAAACATTCACTTAATGTTCTTGTTCTATAGTGCCCTATCACTTGCAAGCTGCAATATATAGGAAGGACGGTCTTGCGCTGAGAATGTTCATAACGTGAATGAGCGAAAGACGTGTCTGCAGTTTGTTAAATTTTTGTGGCTATTGAGGTCAAGTCCTTTTGGTTATCGAATTCTACAAGTATGCTACTTATTTCAGAAACGCCTTGTATCTGTTTAGTTTTAAATATGTATTGTGTATGGATTTAATCAAGATTTAGAAACGATCCTTTCATTAAGATGTTTTCGATAAAAAAAGGAAGAGCGTTTATTAGTGCTCACGCGTAGGAAGTGAAACTTCTTTAGATTGTATATTATAGTAGTAATTAAAAAAAATGGCTTGAACTATTACATTAACTAATTACTAAACACCAGGAAAAATACAACTTTATTTCGAGCTGACGAATGCGGGATATTGGTTTAGTTTGTTAAAAACTTTTACGTTTGTATCATATAGAACTGCAAAGACGAACTACAAATCAAAACAAAACGTCAGAGTAGGCGCGATCTGCTGATAATTTGTTGAAATGGCAATTTTCGTATTATGGGTTGATACTAACAGGTTAGCTTCTGATGCCTGTTAAAATTACTCCTTTTGGACATATCCACCAGGGGTCACACATGGTGCGTGACGCGTGATGTTGTGGCGCGTGACTTTTTCCTTCCTACCGTCGATAATGAAGTTTTACATCATGTAAGTGTTGAAAAATGAAATTGCCAAACGGGGCGTAGTCACTATTCAACTCACCCAGTTATGTTGTCGACGAATACGAAAAACAGTTGTAGTCTAGCATAGGCAGCAAAGTAGAAACAACGTGTAATAGGTTTTAATATTTACAGTGTTGAATGTTCAATAAACTCAAACGGTGTTCATGAATTCGATGGTGCGTCCTACGTGTGATTGTCTGCAGATCTGATGATTTAAACGATGTTGATGAACTTGATCTGCTTGTCGCCGATGGATAAGATGAACTTCGTTTTGCGAATTTCACACTAACATCGAAATTAATGTCACCTTCGTTTTCCGCTGTATTCGGATCCGGCTCGAAGGACCATGTTGAATGCTACGGGTGTGTTGCTTGCATACAACAAGTGTTTTTTCAATTACATTATCGAGGAATACGAGAAACAGTTGTTGTTGAGCATAGACAGAAAAGTAGAAACAACGAGTAATACGTTTTAATATTTACAGTGTTGAATGCTACGGATGTGTTGCTTGTCTAGATACTTTTTAAGGAGCACTTAACCCTCTTTGGAAAAACTTAATTTCTCGAAGTCAATATTTTTTATGTTGATACAACGACCAAGAACTTTAAATTTCGAATCTGCTTCTCTATAGTACGAGCAATAATAAGAATTTTTTGTAAACCATTAATCAAACATATGACACTTAATACTGATTC